TTGATTCGTTTTCTTTTGCGTTTGAACAAACTATTTCATGTATTTCTTATTTTGAATAAAAATACAATCTATGGCCTTTCTACAGAATTGTACGTAAAAATATGACATTTTCGACAAAAAAGTATTTGTAGATTATATCACAGATTTATTTATTATAAAGCACTGAACAAGTGTTTCAATCGAATAAGAGATTCCTCATCACTACTCAGTCACGAACACTCAAAGACCGGATCTCACAAGAATAATACCAGATGTGTGTATACAAATAATTCATACAACAGATTTTATTGTTATGCATCTTGTTTCCTTTAAGTTTATTTAGTAGTTTGATTGAAACAGGGGAAATATCCCTCAGGAAAGTGAGAACGAAACGTTTCATTAATAAACCAACCACTTTCGGAGAATACAACGTCACCGAAATGGAATTCTAATATTTTTTTACTGTAACAACTAATTAGGTCTATGTTGCATTAATTACTGGTTCTTACTGATTGTAACTTTTAAAGAAAAAACGCATATTTACTAACAGTTTCTAGTAGTGATGCAGAGTGCCTCTAACGTTAAACTTCCTAACCAAACGAAGTTCTGAAGTATATATATATATATATATATATATATATATATATATATATATATATATATATATATATATATATATATATATATTCACTTTTTATGTACTCATTTCTCCTTAAACATATTCTGATTACTGATATCATCAGATATCAGTTTAATTATCAATCTAATTACTTTAGTTAGCTTGGATTAATTATTTTCTCTAAATTATTGACCTACATAGAAATTCAGAAATTCGGTCAAAAAATGATGTGAAATATTTAAACAAACAAAACATCTATCTAGGATGATAACCTTTAAAAGGTCAATCAGTTCAAATGTAAAACAAACAATTACGACTCAAAGTCAAATGATCAATCCATGAGCTCATTGAAAGCGTTATCGATCGATAGTAGAGATGAATAAACAACCAACACTAATATTTGACATGATGATATAAAGAAAGTACTTATAATTATGATATGATTGATTCTATTTATTATAAGTTAATAATATCATGATTCCATAAACCGACCAGGTTGTCATATGATTAAAGTTATGAATTTTCAAAGTACTGTGAATATATGAAGGTAACTAGACAAGAATAAAGTTGGCAAGATAATCATCGAGGTTCAAGAGCAGAGAAAGAAAAGGTTGGAACACTTTGAGGAACTCTTGAATAGACCTGCCTAGCTGAACCCACTCAATATCGAAGCAGGAAACGAAGATCTCTAATGATTTTACCTACCAACAAACGAAGAAACCAGCATGCCATCAGATAAATCAAGAGTGGGAAAGCAGTAGGACCAGATAACATACCAGCTGAAGCACTGAAGTCAAACAAAGAACTGCAAAAATGCACCACAAGTGCCACCGATAGACTGGGAAGAAAAGTAACTCATCAAGATACGAAAGATCTGAGCAGATATGAGAACTACAGAGGCACCACACCACTACCAGTACAAGGGAAAGTTACCAACAGACCGGATTCCGTAAGGATTAGTCGTGCACAGGCCAAATCACGAGACTACGGATCATTGTTGAGCAATCAACTGAATGGAATTTGTCACTATACATCAACTTCCGTAATTATGAAAAGGCATTTGATAGTGTGAATAGGAGAATATTATAGAAACTTCTTCGACACGATAGAGTGAGTAGATGAGAAGATCATCAACATCATACAACATTGATACAACGAACTGCAATGCAAAGTGGTGCAAGGAGGATAGCTGACAGACGCATTCCAAGTGAGGACCGGTGTCAGATAAGGCTGCTTACACTCCCCTTTCCTTTTTCTTCTGGTGACTGACTGAGTTATGAATACTTTGACGTCGGAAGGGAAGCACGGAATACAATCGATAGATTGGATGCAACTGGACGATTTGGATATATAGATGGAGCCAACCAGTGTGGCAGCAGCCTCTACAGAAGGAAATCATCAAACTGCATCATGAGGAAAGCACTAACTTGGAATGATGAAGGGAAATGGGGAAGAGTCGGGAATTGGAGGCAGAAATCAAAAGAATAAGTAGCAGCTGGAAACAATTGCAGGGCACAGAGTTGAATAGAGAGTGATAATGGGTGACCTAAGCTCCTACATGAGGGGTAACAGGCTAAAGTAAACAACTCTATAAAAGTATTTATAAAGAAAATAAAACGTAAAACGATAAGGTATCAGACAGAAAGAGCATGGCAGTTTACACATTACATTGACATATCTAGTAACATTAGTAAGGATAAATTGAGAATACAAATTGTGAGTTGAGAAAATATTATTACTACTCAGGAATAGTTATAGGGTGGAAGATTTATCAAGCTGAAAACCAATTCTCATCTAAACTGCTTATTAACTAAGGACAATTTCAAACTCTTAATCAATTTGCACATTTTACATAAGGCAAAAGCAACTGAAAAGTACGAGGTATTTATTTTTGAAAAATTGACTAACAACTATGGTTTAACAATATATATATATATACTGAGTTGTACTTTTGTTAATTCATTAGATAATCCCATCAAGACATTAAAGAAAAGAAAGTTGAGAGAAGAAATGTAATTAGTCAGTCCGTAAGATAATATGGATGGATAGGAGTGGTAAGTAATGATTTTTCGAGGAAAATATTATCTTGACTATTCGAGACAAACACAACTTAGAATTCATTATCTACTATTGAAAAGTGAACACTGATATTGTGTGGATAAAGTACTGATTGTGCTTTAATCAAGTGAAATTCTTTCATCATCAAGAAAACGCGTGCCGATAGAAAAAGTGTATTTTCCAAGTAGAAAAACAAAATTAGGACAAAACTGATAGAATATTATAAATTGATTTCCTTTCATCTTAATGACCAAGTAATGGGTGTTATTGCTGAAAATGTTATCAAGAATAATGATGAAAGCTATCACCATACAGTTAAAGAGATTGGTATTAAAATCTTAATAGTATGTCTCAGTTTTGTCAACTGATCACTCAATGATTAGTTTTCTCTAAACAACTTGTATAAGATGGCTTAAAAGGGATCCCTTGATAGACTTCTAGTCACACTAGATGTGGTAACTTGAGCCTACAGAAATTTATATCAAGTTCTCAGTTAGTCAACGGTTATCATCATTATTATAGAGCCTGGTACAGATGTTTGTTGGACCAAGTCGCCATCTACATTAGCACAATGAGATGAATAGCAAAAGAGAACTAAATATAATGTAGTTGTTATGATAAAGAAAACCCTTGAACAACGAGAATGTGGATCGAAAAAAACTGAGTGAAAAGGCATCACGGAACAGTGGAATTCATGGTCGTATTCAATGTTGTCTATGACTCACTAAATGAATATCTGGTGATTAAAACTCACCTTTACCAAGTCAAATTGTAGGATGCTGATATCTCTCATATTCCTACACAGACTGTCCAACATCGGCTTGATTATATCAATCATCCACTGAATACCAAGATTATGCAAGAAATACCTTATTGTGACAAGAAATCAGCTCTAAACCGTTTTCAGATTCCTTATCAATTTATGATGTGGAGAATTATCAACATTCTACTAGTTTGATCGAGTTGATGTTGTTGGTCATGTTCACAAAAACATAAGTATGTCTTAGAAATATATACAGACAAGTATAATTAACGGATAACTCTAATCTATCAGGTCTTATAAATATCTCACTGATCCATATATCACACATTATCTAAAAAAGAAAAGAATGTAAACTATGCATAAATTGATTTTAAAATTCAGTTGATGTGTTGAAAAAAATACAGACCAAAATGAAAAATAATTCAAATCAATGAAACACAAATGACTGAATGTTACAACTGCATGTCCCACTACTACTGCATTGATATACACGTGAGAATTCAGGGAAAATATCAACGAAGCATTAATAAATGAACTAAGGATTATGTTTTGAAACAATTTCAAAAAATCATAAATTCGCCTGATGGTTCGTTGAAAGCTTTGGATAAGGATTGATGAAAATGGTGAAATTACAGTATTACTTCATACTTACCTCCATATTTGATCTTTTTCAACAATATTTTCAATGCTTAGCCTTTTTAATTATCATTGCTACTACATTATTTTAATACCTTAGGCCACTCATCTCATTGTGATAATATGGCATGATAATTGGGGCCAACGCATATTTGTGCTGGGCCCTATGTTGACGACTGTCGAGAAATTACATTATTACGTCTACGGGAAGAAAGGAAAATATGGGGCAAAGAAAGAAAGAGAAAACAAGTCACCAAAGTACCAGTTGAGGAAGTTCACTGGTACTAATTAGAGATTACTTTGAACGTAGAGACTATGATAGTCTATCATCATAGGTTTGACTTTCCAGATGTCAGCTAATCCCAGTCAATCTAACATGAAAACATAGCACACACAATGTCGTCCACTATATTAGTGCCCATATTGCATCTTGGTTGAGAGAATCCAATCACCACTAAACAAATACAATTGCCACTACTTTGTGATCAGTCAACTGCAAAAAAATATTGTCACCTGATCCATACAAAATTCAATACTCCGATTTATTTGCACTGGTTGCTTGAATGTCATAAGCTGCTGTTGATCAATGTTTTGGTATACGTGCAGAACACTCAACTGACGAGTTCTAAACAGGTTAAAACGCGGGTCCTGCAGATCACAGAGTCTTATTGTGAATGGGTCACGTGTTATTACTACCGCCAACACTGACACCTCTTCGCTACATGATTCAAGTCAACATTCAAGGAAATCACACCATCAGTTTCTCCTATCATTTTCAAATAACTTCAATTAAATATATTTCTGAAGTAGTCAGTAACTATAACTAAACAGGAGAATAATTAGTTAACACTTTTACGAAAAATTATGATAACCATTAGTAGCGTAAATAGGTAGATGGTTACTAAGGGAAATATTAAAAAAAACAGTAACGAATAACTAAATTGTATGATAATATTCAGTTGTATTATATGTGAGTACACGAGATAATTTACAAATCCCATGACAATGCATTAAGACAAACAATTAGACATGGGACTAATAATTAAGTTTTCAAGAATATTAAGATGTTTCAAGCATGGTGACATCACTAATGAAAAATCAAGTTCCAACAAAAGTTACGATTACAGATGCAAAATTGAATATATATATATATATATATATATATATATATATATATATATATATATATATATATATAACAGAGATTTGTTTGTGTGTATTTGAAGGAGAGAGGAGGCTATTAAGTACGGCAGTTACAATTTTGAAATTTGTAAACAAGCTATCTACTAGATGGGGAAAATTAACCTAGAGCAATTAATTTTTCAAAGTAGTGTTAGAAGAAGAGGCTGTTAACTAATGATAAAAGCATGAGTAAATATACACAAATTCACACACAAGTGTAATACAAATACAACAAAAGATCAAAACTTGTACAAACCCATCTCTTTCTTATAGACATGAGGAAGGATTCAAAAAGAACTTTACATACATATATAACCCATAGGTGAGGAATAACAAGTCAATGAATTTTAGTACTGAAAGGACAAACAAGAGGTGAAGAACATGTGTTAAAATTTAATGAGACAGTAAGCAGTAAGTGCATTTGACAATGTAATTTTAAATATGAAATTGATGACACGAACAAGACAAGATCCAAGCACAATATACACGTCATAATAGTATGCACAACATGTGAAAATTAATTTTATTTATATATAGATATACGTATATATGATCAGTTAGACTATGAAGATTTAAAGAAAGAATGACCATATATGCAGCGCAAGCTTGTAAAAAGAATTCAATTTTCTACAAGACAGCGACCAAAACACCATAAATTTTGGTAAATGTGAAATTAATGGGACTAAATTGTAAATAGAATATATATATTCGACGAATGAAAAGTGTACAATCTGAAAATTAATATAAATATTCGAAGGTGATGATACTTGAAAGTAGTGTTGAATAAAGAAAGAAGACGATGAAAACATGGGTTGGTGTAAAATAATTTTGCCAGAATTCGTATACACATAAGGATCCAAGAAAAACCACGAAAGAAACTATCAATATACATTATACACACATTTCTTTGTATATAAATATAATTACAACTGGGATATATAGTATCCAGCGAAATCTCACTTCCGAAGGTTGAACACTGTACATGTGTATCAAGTTAGACAAACCATATATATATATATATATATATATATATATATATATATACCAACGGTAACAAATTGAGATAGAAGAAACAGGCAGACAAACAGAGGGGACTAGTTAAATAACAAAATTTACATTTATATATATAGATAGATACAAAGAGTGGTTTTCACTACATGAATAAGCACTGAACCAAAAGCTTAAACTAAAGCTAAGAGATAATGCTTTGTTCATATCACAATGAAACTTACATACACAAATTAATTTCAATGTATTCAGCCAAGAGACATTTACAAACAAATAAATAAACGAGGAATGGGGGAATTTCCAAGTTACAATTGTCTATGAAGCGATCCGTATGAGAAAACGTATGTCAAAAAGATGTGACGTGCTGATGATGATAGTGAAGAAGTAGAGATGTGCAAGTAGTAGTTCAAAGCGATTGCAAACACGTAATGAATGACAAGAAGCGAGATGTATTGTTGGTGTGGTGTTGTATTTTACAATAAGGACAAGAGAAAGAAAGCTAGTGTACATTATGTAACGACAGAGTCGAACGACTAGTTGTTGAAGAAAAAAATTCAAAAAATGAGAGAATTATAACGGTCCACAAACGGTATATATATATGAAGAGCCAAAACTAAACTAAGAAATGTATTTGGAATATGGGCAAATAAGAAATTAATAATAAACGGTGCTCCAATTCGCTTATCCCTGTTCGTCGTTACATTGTAGTAGTAGCATAAAGCAACACAGATTATTATAGTTGCAATAGTAATAAACTCTACGTGCGATGATTAGACTTGTCATTTGATGATTTGTGTGTAGTTGTAGTTGTTGTGGTGGTAGTAGAAGAATCGTTTTGTTGTGATGTAGTCATACCATTGCCTTCAGAGTTCGGACCAGCTGATTTGTTCACCGCTGGGGTCCCACCATTATTACTATTGTTGGTGTTATTACAACTGCCATTGTTGTTACCACTGCCGTTATTATTACTACTATTATTGGAAGTTTTAGAAATATGATTGGTGGAGGAATTATTTGAAACTGACAAATTATTATTGCTATTATTATTTGAATTATTATTATTATTATTGTTATTATTATTATTTGCAGATGAGCTTTTCCCAGTACTGTTGTTATTCCCGGCTACATTGTTATATTTTTCTAATTTAGCTATAATATGCTTGCCATAATTAAATTTGCGTAGAACATTTTGCATAGGACGGATCCGATTAATTAATACACGACGTTGTTCAGTATCAGCTAATTCTAGCATACGTTGAACTACATAATTTGCATATTGGTCTTTCATCATATCAACTAATGATGAAGAGATGTTATTAGTTGTTACTGACGAAGCGTCTCCATTAATATTCACATTAGAGATTGGATGTAAAATTTCTTCAATTAATACAGCTCTTTCAGATGGTACAGCGTTGGCAATTGCTTTCTCCATAACATTCGATGCAAATTTATGAGAACTTAAAGCACATACACGACCACGTAGACTTTGAATAATACGTGATTTATCCTCATTCGAACCATGTTCTAAAACATGCTATAATTAAATGAGCAACAAACAAAAATATACATAGAGATGCTTTATATATATAATTTAACAACTATGGAGTAGAAATTTGTAACATACACAGCTTCCTATTCAATATTAGTTGAAATCCGAGATGCTTAATAGTATAATTGGACTATGTCGTCAACGAGGTAATTATGCATCTACTAAAAGGTCTAATGGGCTTTTTGTTTTATAGGTGTGAAACACTTTAAGTCTTATTGTTACACAAGATTTGTCAAACGAAAAAAAGAAATAGATTAAATACACGATAAATTGAAGATATAATATAGCTGAAGTGTATAGACAAGATTATATCTTAATTAAGTTCAAAACTTCATGACTTAAGACATTATTCAATGGCATACTTACATACAGTTTTAGCTGCTGCTAACATACACATGAGAGCCGATTACAATGAATGATCTTGTTAATAATTCTATGATTATTTGCAATAATAAAAATTCTACCGTTTTAAAGTCAATGCTACACCATAATTAGTTTATTAGTCATAATCAAACGGGTATTGATCAATTTAATATACCACACCAAAACCACAAAATGTTTTGCAATGACAAGATGCTCGTAAAAACGATTAAGCATTGAGAACATGGTTCGAAAAGACGGAATGAAATGATAGTATATAAGGAATGTTGAAACTTAGTATTTACAGGAGGATAAAGATTAGATGCATTTCCACGTCACTGTAATTGATCTCGGTTATCGAGTGGATCGACATGGCTCAGACCAACAGTGAATAACTTCATGAAATGATTCACATTGTTTTCGGTCGTCACTAGTTTTCTTTGAAGTTACTCCTAATCTAACCAACACAACAGGTCGATGCAGATAGTTGTTGGGAATCTGTACGACATGGTGTCGGGGTATGAACGAAAGCTGCAAAGGGCTGGCTTCTATTGGCTCTTCAAGACTCTCTAGCTGGGGTCCGAGAGATGATGCAACACAGTGGCTAGAGACGTTATCATATATGGCTCAGAATAGAAGCCAGTGGAGATCCTGTTGTAACTTTCTTTTGCGTTCTTCATAAAAAGTGGTTGTATCTTCCTTAACTGAAAGAATTCTTCTGGTTGAACCTTCCCGTTTCCCCCATTATTATTATTATTATTATTATTATTATTATTATTATTATTATTATTATTATTATTATTATTATTATTATTATTATTGTTACACTACCTTACACTAATCTGGTCGTCATTGTTCTTCTTTTTTTCTTGTACGCTCCTTACCTTCTTTTTTTCTCTTCCCATTCTCATTGTTCTGTGTGGCGCATATATATTTGGTGCCCTCTTGTACCAATATTTATGCGTTAAAATAAATAAATAAATAATAAAAACGCAAATACGACCTCATTCGATGAAGATTCATAATCTAATCAATCGGTTTGCTTTAAATGTTGACTGAGGTAATATTGCTAGTATGAAATAAATAAATCGACAATATTGTATGTACATTTTGATGTTTGTTGTAGGTAGGGAATTGTAAAAGATTGATTTAATCGACACAAAATTAATAAATTATATTTCGTTTAACATAATTACGTTATTGAAGTCTTACTTGAATGACGTAATTGCCATACTGATCTTTGACCAAATGTTCCACACCTTTGTGTAGTTCATCAAGAATAGGACGTGTTTGTTCCGGTAGGCAATGTTCCAAAATGCGCTGAATAACTCGACAACCATAGGGATGTGATGAAAGTAAAACCACCTTAACAAGGTTGAACAGAAAAATAATCAGCAGGTATATTTTTTTATTTAACGATAGATGTTTTATCCTGAAAATACTACTTCATCAGTGGCCGAATATGTGGGCAAAGTGAGGGGCATATTCTAAGTGCTCTGAGAAAATTTTTTAATCAAGATCAACTTGTAGTATTCAGAAATAAGTTAACGAGAGCTTTCTTCTCAAGGTTCTAATATCCTTCAACATAGACCGGCAAAACGGAATAAAATTTATTATTTATTTAAACACATAAGTATTGGTACAAAGGAGGAATATATGTAGGCAAACCTTCCAGAAAAGAGGTGACGAGCCGGGCTATTCTACATGATATTGTAAGGCCAGGCAGATTATATGTTGCCCGAAGGTTGCATGATATGTAAAACATGGGAGAATGGTAAGAAAAATATTCATCAAGCCAAAATCACCGCCCACATATTTGTGCCTGAATCAGTTCAGTAATATGTATACCTAAGAGGTGTGAACATTATGATTCAGCCTATGAGAGATAAAACTTCCTACGCGTCCTTAGTCTTTTTATTCTGAATAGCTGTTTAAATAATTATCAAAAAGTGTGTGCTATGATTGAATCAGAGATTTATTTATTTTAACACATAGATATTGGTACAATTGGGCACCGAATACATATCAGCCACACAAATTTCATTTGACTTGTGTGAGGGCTGTGATACTGCCCGGGTGCCCAAACCGAAGTAGTTGGTTTTCTTAAATGGCCACACTCGGAGCCTTCGACCTGAAGGTCTGGTCCATAAGGCAGTGGGGCATTGTAAGGAAATGCAGTCCCATGGCAGCCGGTGACTAACGATTGGTTCATGCGCCATTTGTCTCCTCAGGATACTGGAGCCCATGTGCACCATTGGTTTGTAATCAGGGTTTTCCAACTCCTCTAAGTGGGCTCTGTGTCCACCAACTCGGTTGGATGGATATGCTTCAGCGATACATCACTCAACCTTGACATTACCATAAATGGAGAAGTGTTATATAGGTTACATACAGTAGTAGACTTAGATATTTCAAAGACTTGTCGTTTACAGAACATATATTAAAACAGACCTCTAAGTCTCAACGTCTAATAGGTTACATAACTCGAAATCTTTACAACACTGAGTCCCGTATTCTAATGTACAAAGATTGTGCTCGTCCTCTTCTAGAATATTGCACGTTTATTCTCAGCAGTGCGCGTATAAAGGATAAATTAAGGCTGGAATCAGTACAGAGGCGATTTACACTTCGTATTCTTGGAGCTGATTGTACCTAAACTTATAATTCTAGATGTAATAAACTTGGGCTAGACCCTTTATGGAGGAGGAGACTAAAACTAAATCTTATCTTTTTCCTCAAACTACTTCATAAACTATCGTTTACATCCAATCACGTGATTCAATATGCAGAAACTTCTCATTATGACATCCGTAATTCCTTGACACTAGTGAAGCAAACTCATTCTAAATCATCTCTTCATATGAATTACTCCACCTGTAAATTTTCTAGACTATGGAATAACCTACCACAAACTATCCGCATGATAAAATCACCCCCATTATTTGTTCGCTGCATCCATGCATACTTCTCCTCTGAAAATGCATTGAATGTTCTAGCACCTGGAAGTCTATTTCATTCCACAAGTGATATTTTAGGAACTTTAAATGTTTAGCCATCTTTATTAGTGCATTCCCTAAGTAAAACCACTTACTTGTTGTCATTTTATGCTAACACCGTCCCTAGCAAGTTTAACTAATTTGAATAACATCAACAGTATATCACTGTGTCACATGACACACGCATTTTGGTAGACCTGATTGATGTATTTTGGTAATTACTGCTTAGTTGTTCTGTGCTCTCTATTTTCGTTCTAATTTCTCTAGTTGTAGATAATTATCATTAATTCGATCTGGCACACGAATTGACCTTCATTACTCCGTTAATAAATCAACAGGCTGTCCATTTAAGAAATATTGAAAATTACCGACTGTTGCATTGGATTGCTGTAATATATGTACTACCTAAACAACTACTGAACTAGTATACTTAAAACGTTCGTCTATCACATGTTTGTTCCGTACATCTAATGTTACTATTTATATCAAATTGATTATGCCTGTAAACTGGCGTGAATTCTGTAATTATTATTTTAGGAATATAAATTATTATTATTATTATTATTAAAGTGCCGGACATTCGCTTTTCGTCCTCTGAGTTCCGTAAACACGCCCACCACTAGGAAGCAGTGAGTAGGACTTCCCAGGCAGAGGCCATATACGCATGGCCATGTGAGAGCATTTATAGAAGGAGAGCAGACTCTACCCACTCTCGACCGTACCAGGGCATTTGGAAGAGAGAAAACCATGAACAATGACCAATGCAGAACATAGTTATACGTGGATCGCATACCTCAGAAAGTATTTGATATTTTTAAGGCATGAAAACTTAGTCGGTCTTGTGCATGAAAACGTGATCATGATCACTCCGGGACACGAACCCAGTACCAATGGGAAGATTCAAACAACCAAAACAAAAATGAATAAACTTCACAACATTTCGGTCAGTCAGCTACAAAGTAGAACCACACACATATATGCATCGATACAAATTGCCATACCTCAGTAACACAACAAGATGAACACCAGATTCATAAAAGTAGTTAATTCAGAGGTGGTAATATATAAAAGAAAGATTGCATATAAAGATATAGTACAGGAAGAAAGAATTAATTCGTAGAAAGAAAGATATGAAGCGATTTCCATTTCATAGTTTAAAGGAAAACTGAGCGTGTATACACCTACACCTTTGTGATCTATTCTGAGCCATGTCACCAAGAGTCTCCAACTATTGGTTATGATAGTCATGTGAACCCCAACCAAGTAGTCTGCATCTACCAACATGGCTCAGACTAGAAGTTAGTAACTTTAAGGACTGATGTCACGTTTTGGTTTGGCCACCCCTAACTTTCTCTCAACCATCTCCAACACTGGTTATCATTGCACGTCATGGTAATCGGTGTTCAGGCATACGTAACGCGTGGCCCAACCATCTTAGTCGATGAAGATTCACAACCTCACCAACTGATTTACCATCATTCCCTAATACCCTGCGTCTAACCTCACTATTACTTACCCGGTGATCCCAGCAGACGCCAGCAATATTTCTAAGGCATCTGTGCTCAAACACTAGTAGCTTACGAGTATCACCTACTCTTAATGGTCACGTTTCGCTGTCGTAAATTAAAACAGAACGGACTGCCGCGCAGTATACTCGTCCTTTTATTGATAGACGGATATCTCGCCTTCGCTACAGGTGACGTAAGTTGGCAAAAGCCAAACGAGCTTTTCGAATGCGTGATGAGATTTCGTAAGACACCAACACATTAGGGCTGATCAGACTTCCAAGATAAGTGAAGTTATTAACGCGTCCGACTAATTCACTCCATAGCCTTAGTTCAGGTGTTGACGCAGACCAGTCCTGAAGCAACAGTTTGCATTTAGAGGGAGAGAAGCGCATTCCAAACATTCTGGTATTGTTGCTCAGTGCTACCGGAAGACTGCATTTTATCAGCGTTTTCACCAAACAGGACTATGTCATCTGTGTATTCTAAGTCGATAAGTGGACCTCCTGGAAGGAGATCAATACCCGAGAATCCAGTCGACGAGAATGTTATTTTCAGCGGCAGCTCTATGATGAAGTTGAACAAAAATGGTGATAGTGGACAGCCTTGACGGAAACCACTCGAGGTTGCAAAAGCAGATGACAGTTCGTCATAAGCACTGACTCGACTGGTAGTGTTCGAGTAAAGAGCCTTCACAAGGTTTATGTACTTCTGAGGTACATCTTTCAATGACAGACACTGACACAGAATCTCGCGGTCTACCGAGTCAAATGATGCTTCCAATTCAAAAAAACTAACATTGTCGGACGCTGATGAGCACGCCTGTGGTCTAAAACCTGATGAATGGTGAACATGTGATCAATACAGCCACGATCAGGTCTGAAGCCAGCCTGATTTTCCCGTGTCCGCAGTTCACGAGTCTTAGTTAGGCGTCCGATAATTATTGAGGCTAGTATTTTAGATGCTATATTAGTCAAACGAATCCCTCTATGGTTGTCACAGGATGATTTTGACCCCTTTTTAAATATTGGGATAATCAGTGGTTGCAACCAGTAAGATAGGATTATGTCAAACTCCCAAATTTTAGCTAAAATATTAGTCAACCTAATCGCTAAAATTAGATAGCCATCCTTAAAGACCTCTGGATCGAATACATCTGCCCTTCCTCGTTTCAGATTAACTATAGCATTTTGAACTTCAGCTAAAGTTGTGAGACCTACTTCAATGTTTCATTCACACTACCTGGGAATGGAGGGTAGTTGTAGAGTAGCTGAATGCCAGCTGAATTGTCTTCTAAAATGTTCCGCCCATCGTTTTACACGTCTGGACTGGGAGCAGATGAGAGTGTCGTCTTTGTCCGAAATAGTCTGACTTACACCTGACTTATTAATTCCAGTTTATTTTATTAGTCTGTAGAGCTGTCTTGTGTTCCCTATAGCCGCCGCCTTTTTCATCTCTTGCTTTTGTTGCCGACCACTGCTCACGGTCGTTCCTTAGACTTTTGCTTAACCTAGAACTCAGTGTTTACAAGTGACTTAAAGATATTTTTTGAATTTCTTTTATTATGTTCGTCATAGACAACGTAGGACCTGCCATAAATCTAAATTAGTTCAATGTGTCACACTATAACAGCATAGTGAATATGAAATCGAGAAAGCAAAATGGTCAACACCCTTTACTACTTCAATCATTAACGTTATATTACGAGTTGAACCCAATCAGTTCTGAAGCAACAAGTTGGATTTGAAGAATGAGAAACAAACCTCAAACATTTTGAAATGGATTTAAACGAATATACACCAGGTAGTCATCAAGGCAAGAAATATACCCAAAATAACTTTTTCGGTATTGTAAAACGGATGAGAAACGAGAAATACTGAAGGGGAAACATACTTGGCCACGAAAAGCTGAAATAATAAAATCAAGTTCTGAAGGTGGAACACATTCAATGCATTTTTGAATAACGTGATTCCCGTTTTGATCTTTTACACACCGTGTTACAAATGGTCTCAGTTCACCAACTATGTGTATTTTTGCCTCGGCTGGTACAGATTCTAATGCTTTTTGTATAACACGACAACCATACATTTGAGTAGCAAACTCAACAACGTGACCTTGTAAACGTTGCGAGAGAAGCTAAAATAAGAAAGAGTTATGATTAGGAAGCTAACGCTGACAAAAAATACATTATTGATCACACTGAATTATATTTACGCTCCAATAAAAATAACTCTCCTCTAGGTGTTCCCTGGTATATATATGTATGAAGATCAATGTTCTAATCGGTAACCAAGTACAAGTTTATACGTTCGCCAACGAGATCACAAGTTATATGGTTTTGTTATTAAGTGTTAGTCTTATTTTTCTTAAAGGATAGCCTCGACAATATTTTTAAAAATTTATATTCTCGTAAAGACCTTTGTGGCTATCTGATTGGCTGTTGTTACTTTTAGTTTGTTAATTTGGTTCAGTCCCAAGGTCGTTGTGTGTTACTATACAAACAGAGTTGTTCTATTTCAACTTTCGACTTCTACCTAGAGCATGAAACTGTCCTGAAAGTCCGTTCTTCTGTATCGACACTTGGAGTGTGAATTATTAAAACTGCAATGTTGTCGTGTGTCAGACACCCGGTATATTTATCGAGTTTCCATTAGTTTGATCTGTATTCAAGATTCTCCATTATTCATAATAAGATTTCCGTAGGATAAAATCATGACGGAATTACGAAACTTAATAACACTCGTTTTCACGCCATACGTTATTTTTATATCCATTCATGCAATGCATATGTCTAAACACTATTTAAGCTTATGGAAAAAACAGTCACTGAAAATCAAATGTTTTTGATCACTAAATTATAGTTGTGTGGAAAGAACTACAATTGTTATTTGATTATAGGATAAAGATAAAGCAAGAACAATAAACGGAGAAGTTGATTGCGACTTATCGACTGCACGGAAAAAAGGGTTGTAAGTACTCAATATTGTAAAACTTACAGAAAACTGTTGATTTAGCTCAGAGACACCATAAAGGTAGATTGATAAAGGGCAAAAAATTTGAAATAATTCAGATAATCCATTTTCATGATTGATTACTTATAGAAAAAGTACGCGAAAAATAGGAGGAAACAGAGGAATATGAAGGCGAGACGATACTAGAACTAACCATTGATGTAATTCAAACTAGAAAAATCTATAGTCTAGGCTGACTGGATAAAATGAGCACAGCTCGAATAAAAATACACATGAAAGGGGATTTTTAAATAGATCTTATTAAGTGAATCAAGAAATAGTGGATGTGTTAGTAAAAAAAAATTATGATTGATGCAGACAACAAATAAAATTAGCATTTTATCAAATTACTGACAAAATGTTTGGTGGAACAGTGGAACTTAATATTTAACTTCTGAGTAATGAATATGACTAAGTAAGAAAAGAATAATAATAAAATAAATCTCACTTCTTTTTGCTCTTTTGTTCCGAATTCGAAAAACTTTTGTATCACATAGTTGCCAAATACATCAGTCATTAGTTTGCCAGAATGTGGTAATATTTCATTAAAGACTGAATTTTTTTCAGTGGTAGTAGCGGTCTCTAATTTCTGTTGTATAAATCGAGATCCATGTTGATCACGGGCGAATTCGACCATATGATCACGTAACTCTGACAGATGCATGTGTTGGAATCGTGCACTTGAATTTCGAAAATCCTCCAAAAGTTGACTTCGGCTAGACACAGTGGTAACAACGAGTGGAGTAGACGTAGTAATGTTCACACCTAAAAGTAATATAAATATAAGTCTTGAATGAAACCAAATAGATGTTTAGCATTTTAGTACACAACAATTAACACTGATAAGCAATAAAATTTAGTAAATAAGTATAAAGTTGTTATATGCCTCTTTGATCAAACTTACCAACAACCGAACTAGGCCTTGAAGAAGCAGTACCAGATAAAGTCAAAGGAAGTGGTGAAAGTAAAGGGGCTGGAAGTCGCTGGTTGATATTTTGGTGTGATTGAAGAGCAGCAGCATAATTTGGACTTTGTTGAACAGTTTGAGAATGTACGGCAGATAATAGACCAGGACTACGACCAGTAACTACAGGCATAAGGGGTGGTGGAACTGGAGCTCTAGTTCCTAAGAGGGCCGGATGGTTCACTCCAGTAGGTCGAAGATTAGGGTTGGGACCCATGCCAGGAGGTGGGGTAGCAGTAACAGCCACACCCGATGCAGCAGCAAAGGCGGCAGCAAAAGCACGATTTTTATGCATCGATGCTATAAAATAAATTATCAACATTCAGCATTAGCTAGCTAATGGAAAAAGTTTTCATTAAAGCGCGGTTTAAGATGCTACAAATTTTCGTTGAATTGACCTAGGTTTAAGCCACATTTATGCAATTTGCGAAAGACGTGTAGGTAAGTGTACTCAGCTAACAACTATGCCCAATTTACAAGAACTAGTGATACTCCGTTATTTAAGCTGACGTATATAAAAAAGTTTGGACAGATACAAAACAAAGTCACTTCTGGTTTGTATAAATTTTAGTTAATCAATCAGTCAAAATCAACACAGATTACGGCACAAATGTGTGTTAACCTAAAAATGCATATCATTGCAATGTATGTCAACGAAATGTAATCCTTTGTATTTGAACAAAAAAGTCAAATAATGAAAAATTAACACATTTGAGAAAAACGCGTCGTTAAAAACCAAGGTGTAAATCTCAACCGTTTTCCATGAAATAATCATATAAAAGTATACAGCATATTGTAGTAATGCAATTCAGTTTGATTTGGGCGCCCGGGTTGTATTTTAGCCTTCACACAAATCGAATGACAAAGTGTGGCGCATATATATTTGGTGCCTCCTCGTACCAATGTTTATGTGTTTAAATAAACAGTCAGTTCATTATGAAAAACGAAGAATCTGGCACAAATGAACATGAGTCCAAGTTGCAAAACCGTAACATAGTCAGATAAAATTCCCAAGATATATTAGAGTAATCGAAGTAGTAACAGTGTTAATGGTAGTACAGGACATGACTCGAGTAGAAAAAATAAATTTGTGGGATTAAAGGTATAGAATACTGTCAAAACTTGGGGTTTAAAGGGAAACAAAGATTAGCCTATAGCTAAAAAAATGGCCAGCATCATGGTCAATGACCATATCTACTGACGCCACGTCTCGGTTTGGCCGCCTCTAGATTCCTTCCAACCTCATTCAACGTAGACATTGATTGAGAATAGGTAGACTTTCATATACATAAAAAATAAAGGTGATGGAGTCCATTAGTGTTATTGTACATTAAACTTAACGACCTCCAGACTACAAGTCAGCGTTATTTCACTACGAGTGATCAAAATTGTGATAATGAAAGAATTAAAAAGTAGTACAAGTACAAACAACTAAAAGTGCAAGCCATCGAAATAGGTTAATTTACCATCGAAATTGAATGGATATGGTGTGGCTGATGAAAATCCGGTTGAAACAGATAAAGGAGGTCTTTGAAGTCCTGATGGTGATGTTGGAGAAATATGCATGCTAACAGCTAAAGCTCCAGGAGGTTGCGAAATAGGCATACGACTGTAACTAGATACATCTCCAGCCACCGAGTTGGGACTACCGCTTGCTTCCGGGTGAAGAAGACCAACTGGTGGTAATAGGTTTATTCCCTAAAAGAGAAAAAAATAAAACTATGACATATACACACACAGATACTAAGTACCGAATGATTAATAGAAAAAGAGCTTAAATTTTCACCAAAACAATTATTACAACAACAAACAATGCTCACATTAGGTATCGAAAAGTTGCCTGGGTTTAATCCAGCAACAACCGAACCGGAAGAATACAGGCCTCCAAAATAATTAGATGAATTTGTGACAACACTAGATGTGAACGGAGCAACTAGGGGTGTTGACGAAGTGACAGATGGAGCAATACAATTTGAAGAATTATTTGATACAACGCTACCACCACTCAGAGCAGTGCTATGTCGTTGTTGTTGTTGTGCAGCATTCATTAACTGTTGTTGAGCTTGGAAAAAAGCAAAAGCTCCAGCGGCAAGACGTGATTGATCTACGATATTATTACCATTTGCGGATGGTGTAATATTATCAATAACTGCATTCGAAGCTGATGATACAACGCAGCCTGGATTGTTTGCCATACCATTAGCTAATTGTTGCATGATCATGAATGCAACATGATTCCATTGTGGTGCTGAAACAAACAACCAGAAATACTCTTCAAATTAAAAGTCTGTGCTAGTGACAAAAATTGAAATATTAAACTGATTCGACATGAAAAAAAAGCAAGTGACTGCAGATAACATTTTGATAGGTGAACACCACAGACAGCAATTGCGAGCATAGTATTAGGTTCTTAACTTATAGATTCAATTCAGAACACTCATTTACTAATAATTAAATAATAAGGATTCAGTGATTACGAATTCATACTTTTTTCAAGAAAAGCTAGTGATTGTGATATGAAAGTAGTGCGCTTTATGACTAAAACCTCTGCAAACAATTTTATATTAGTTTAAACTAAGCCTTGGTAAAAAGAAATAAGTATCTTGAGAGAGCTATAAGGTGATGAAGAAAGTTAACGTTTCGGTCAGTTCAGCTTAGATTTCCCTTTTGAAAGTACTAGCATTTGTAAAAACAATTACTGTTTAATTACCTTATATTTTGCTGAAATTTATTAGATTTTTGACTATTTCTATTTCCATTTCGTACGCAGGATGGTAACACTTTTGGAGTAATATTTTTGGTATGTTATCTCATTTCATCTTCACCACATTGGCCAGACGCTAATTAAGTAGTTCGTAATAACGAGTGATGCGTTAGCTGGTGATATTCAGTATTAAAAGTAAAGATTTGTATGTTGGAGAACATGGACCTTGTAATTACGTATTTTGTGTAGTGCCTAGCGACAAACTATTTGCTTTCTCGAATTGAATTAAGTAGAACATGACAAGCAAAAGAGATTTACGACCCAGTGTTTGTATTCGAAGCATTCACTTCAATAATATATCATCATCTATGATTATACTACTTTCGTAGCCCACTTGGAAGTAACTTTAGTGCAGGACTCCTTCTAAGTAGTTCTCAAACATAATGCAGTACATTCTTTCGACTGGTAAACATGTACTAAATGTTATTTTACTCACTAATTGGGCGTACAGTTTGGGGTCACTGTTATACAGTTCATCTGTACAACTTAAAATATGTTGTCACTGGGATATACGGAGTAAATTATTGTTAATGACACCATAGACTTTATCATAATTTCAGTTTAGAAAACATAATAATTTTTTCTTAATGGGTTTTGTGCATCATAATATTGTATTACTGTATAAATGAATCATTATTTAAAAATTCTTCAACTGATAACAATCAAGGCAGGTAATTTTGTCACAAACTGCCTTCAGCTGATGAACGAAGTTGAAAATTAGGAATCACTATATAGTATTTTTTGTCATAAATTATGACTTATCAGTTGTGCGTACCTTACAAATGGACTGAATTTCGATCTAAGTAAAATAAGCTATCTTGTGGATTTTAATTTTTACAACTGAACTCAATGCATGATGAACACCATCACTAGAATGAACAACCTGCAGAAATCTGACCTCAGTATAAAAAATAACTAATTTAAATTAGGCGACACTATACAATGGTCACGGGAAGTAGAGATTGCAATGTAAGAAGCAAACAGTAAAAAGTAACAAAGTCAAACCTTGTGAAAGTGGTGGAGGAATTTGACTATTATTATTGTTATTATTATTAGCTGCACCTCCTTGTGACATAAAAAGTGTCATAGCCATAGCCATTGATTGCGGGTCCATCATATTTAGTTGAGATGTGGGCGGCATATTATAACCAAATGGAAAATTATTGTTTACAACACTGGATTCACAAAGTGGATTTCCTTCGAAATTTCCTGGTGGTAACTGAGAAACTGAAGATGTGGCTGATACGGCCGCAACTGAGGATAAAGTTGGTGTAGTACAATTACTCGATGAAGGTGAACTAACAGCACATAAGCCAGGTGGCGGCAAAATACCTGGATATTTTGTATAAATATCATTCATAATGTGAGCCTCACTTAGCTGTAGTAAATGAATAAAAATCAATAACTGAGTTATTGGGTGTAAATCAAACACAATTATTCTAGAATTAATACGAGATTCTCCTGTAAACAAGTGAGTAATAAATTCTGAACAATCACAGTGAGTGCAAGGTGAGTCAGTCGTACGCACAGTGAAACCAGACATATGTATGTGTACAACTGTTTAGCTTGTCACACCTCATCAGTACAGTTAAATGAAATTTTCAGGACGAATACCACAGTAGTACACGTAGTGACAATATTCCTTCTCACAGAAGATATCACACATCCAACATACGATTCAACAAGGAAATACCAATTATTCTACTAAACAATTATATAAGATCATTTGGAAACTTACCATTTAAGGGAAGACAACGAGTGAGTACACTTCAGCCACTCACAATGATTCTCAACAATCTCATTCAAACTCTTCTAATCATTACTCACGACAGTCAGCCAGTTACTAGTCAGGTAGTCTCCACCTATATACATGGTTCACTCCAACGGTCATTGCCTTCATCCACTGATGTCAGCTCTTGGTTTCTCCACACAACCCTACTTTCCTTCCAAATTACTCCCATATCAACCTTCTTCGGCTGTTGAAGTAGTCACTGGTGAACACATATCACACATCTCCTAAACATCTCAGTCGATAAACGTTCATTATCTCGTCAATCAGCTTACCATTCTTATCTATTTCACTTAATCTAACCTCGGAATTAACCACTCCATGGTCCCAACATATACGGGCATGATCAAATACTAGTAACATATAAATAACCTATGTTCTTAAAGACCGCGTTTTACTATCATGAAGTAGAACGGAGAGAAATGTTGTGTAGTTTGCATGCTATTAGGTTGCTATACAGATATATCGCTTACGCTACACGTGACGCAAGTTGGCAAATGTCAACCAGGCTTTCTGGATCCGATCTGACCAGACTTACAAAGTAAGTCTCAACCACTTCATTCTCTATCGTTAGTTAAGGCGTTAACGTAAATCAGTCCTGAAACAATGTTTGCATTTAAAAAGGGATGAAAGTAATCTTTTGATTTTGTTAGTGTTTTAATCAAATAAGACTATATCATCTGCGTATCCTAAATCAACGAATCTCCTGTTGAAGGATAGATTTCTGATAAGTCAGACAGTGAGGTTATTTGCAAAAGAATGTCTACGAAAAAGTTAAATGAAAATGGGAAAAGCTGACAACCCTGACGAGTGAAATATGAAAATAGAAATCAAGCACTTAAGTGTTTGACACTTAGTAAATGATTTTCAGGCTGATGTATGTCTATTGAGAAAACAATCATTTCGTCACAATCTCTATAGAGCTCGAGTCATTTGCTTCACAACAATTGTTTCACAGGTGTATTATACATGGCAAACACAACACTTCCTAAATCTAATAAATTCGATCGACACAAACGCAATAGTATAATAACAATAATAAACGGCGCCATGAAGTCCACAACTTATAGCTGAGTGCATTAGACTATTAGGAACTAAACATTGCATATTGTTAAGTACAAATACCAAAGATTAATAACTAATAATAAGATAACCATAAAAATACTTCAAATACATCTTTGAATGTTAACTAACAGTGACCTAATTGTTTTAGTAGCTGTTTGATGTGTGAAACCAGCATTCCAAATCTAGCTAATTTAAGTGTAAAGGAAGTGGTGAGTATAAGACATGAATACCTGAAAGGGTGGTCCGAAAGCAGAACCTTGACCACCGACAAAGGAAACAGGAATTTGAAGAGGTGTAGATGATGCTGGTAAAGTACTGATGTTTGCTGAAGGTGTGATAAGTCCTGAACACTCAGACTCAGCTGACTGACCGAAAAGAAACAGTGGAGGAATAGCAAGCAATGAATTTGGCATGGCTGTACTTGAAGGTAATGGGAATAGATTTGACGTAATGGTATCGGACATGGAATTCAAATCAGAATTGGACACTGATGAGCCACGAAAAGCAGTTGAACGAGAATTGATCAAAGTAGAATTAGATTGTGCAAACAATGATGCATTTGATCTAGGCATTGTAACGTCATTAAATGCATCAGACTGATCTTGAAGAACTCGATGTGAATGTTGTAAGGTGTCGATGTCATTCGATTCCGAAACAAGGCCCATTGCAGACCCAAAAAGAATGGCAGGTTGCGTGCTCAAAGGCGAAGATGCTGAAATTGACATAGATGATGTGACGTTGTGTATAGATGATGACCACAGACCTGAAGGTGCATGAGCTCCAAACTCTGGTGCATTTGAATGGTTTATACCATCCGTTTCTGAGTTGTTATACGGTAAGTTAGTCGGTTCAGTGTCCTTACATTCGGGAAACAAATCACGCCATGAAGTTGTATTCTATAACAAAAAGAAACAATGGGAATTCATCTTTATTCGATATTTGTGGAAAAATGTCATTTCTTTTTATTAACACACCTAATTATATAACCAATAAATTATCTAAATCAGTTGTCACTTCTATAGCAATTAAACGACAGACAAGATTTCAGCTTTTTTAATAGACCGGATGCTAGAGTAATCATTGTAATAAATTTTGCCAGTTATAACACTTTTGACGCTTTAATTGACACGGAACATAATTATAATATTTGTGTAACAGAGAAAAATTGAATATAGGCATGGTTAGAGACGTAACTCATTTATCAAGTACAGATTTGTGTATTCAGCTTTTAGCCACACATGTTAGTGATAGTCAGTCAGTCAGTCAGTGACAACGTAGAACTTCGTACGTACGTACATCAGTTCGAGTTGAGTGATATGGAAACAAGACTGTCCAAACCAAAATAGGTGAAGTGTGACCCGAAGTTGTGATCTAATTGAACACCTTAACCACTAAGCCGCCGGCTCAGCTAAGATTACTATTCTAATGAAAGTGAAGGTCAGGATGAACAGTTGAGTGGAGAACACAACCTAAGTAGATTCAGAAACAAAACCGATCATGTTAGTCTGCGTTACTAATAGTAGATTTTAGATTAGGTTAGAAGTGCTTTGCACTGTAGCATATACACCTCAGCTCTCTTAAGAAATATTCTGTTCTTCCAAGTTACATATACTTAGGGTCTGGACCAGACGTATATTACGCACGCTACTGCTATTTATTTCTCACAATCACAATGATTTGATACCAAAAACACTTTTTGATTCACATTTTCCTGAATTGATTTATTTTTGAACATATAGATGAGGACCTAGTACTACATAAATAATCACTAAGAACGAACTAAATTAATTATTGTAAGCGTGATTATGTATCAAAAACTTAATGGACTGTAGCCATGGATTGAAAAGAAGACACTTATTCACGTCTATCCGTTTTTAAAAATTCTCCAGAAGACCATTAACAGTGATTAATTAGTATTTACATAAGAAGGTACAGAAAAAACATAATATTTACGTACAAATAGATTATATACATAAAACTTTTAAAATAGACTACTAACCGCTAGACCACAAGCTGTATCCCAATTCCATGGAAGCACTTCATTTTCGGCTCCATTATCAATTCCTAAACCTAAATGGTTATGATTATCTTGTTCTTCCTGACAATTATTTCTGCTGGCGGCGCAATTTCCTACGGTTGTATTTGCTGTAACTGGGTCCTGTGAAGGATCAGGTAACCAAACGTGATGCGAATTGTTTTGGCGAGGTTCCCAGATGGATAACAAATCAAATGGTGCCATGTTAGCGTTTTCTTGAGGGTGTTGGTTCTCTAACCTACCAGGGACGGCTGTCCCATTGGAAGCAGTGAGGTGTCCAAGCTGTCCGGGTAGAGGAGTTATGTCCCCAGTGACACCACTACCCGCAAACGAATGAGCCTCTCCACTAGCTGCGCTATTGTAATTTACTCCGTTGGCACTGAAATTGCCTGAACCAACACTACAATGTGAGTCTCCGAAACAAGAAAGCAGCCCAGAACTGCAATTGCTTCCCCCAGCAGTATCACTTCCAGGTGTTGTACTTATTCGACGCTCTGCACCAACAGCCCAGATCTGATTAGCCCGAGAAGAACCGATTATGGATAGATTATGAAAGTGATGGGGTAAATCAGAGCTACAATCATCAATGTTCTCCTTTGTTTGCATATCTAAGCATACACCTGTAGAGTTAGCACAGTTGGCAGCTATATCAAGTGCATCATCATCAGTTAGACAGAGTGTATCAGGGAGCTGAGGAGCGCCATCTTGAAAAACAGACAGATTGAGATCAGGCTAGAAAAAAGTTAAAATTAAGGAAAAACGGGAATGAAAAATTAATATTTGATCGCAGGAGAAGCAAATATGACATTGTACATGAACTGATGTCACATTCGACTTTTGGAAGTGTATAAATGTCCACTTTCGAATGGACAGACAGTATCTTAAAGGTTAAGTTTGATTTAGAGAGTGCTGAAACTGTGAAATCCTTAAAATGAGGATTGACTAGATTTACTTGATTAAAATTAGTTGTAAGACACAAAAGTAAAGTACCATAGTCTAGAGAAAACTGATCAGTGACAGTCGCCATGACCGAATGGCAAATAGTGAACATTCAATACTTTAAAAAGCAGAATGATAACAATAGAGTCTTTTATGCTCAAATCGAAATATCTTATCGAAAAAAATGATAAGTGATAATTAAGTTTCTGCAGTTATTCATCAACTACAAACAGTCAGGTACAATTAGGAGTCAGTCAGTCAGCTACAAAGTAGAACCACACACATATATGCATCGATACAAATTGCCATACCTCAGTAACACAACAAGATGAACACCAGATTCATAAAAGTAGTTAATTCAGAGGTGGTAATATATAAAAGAAAGATTGCATATAAAGATATAGTACAGGAAGAAAGAATTAATTCGTAGAAAGAAAGATATGAAGCGATTTCCATTTCATAGTTTAAAGGAAAACTGAGCGTGTATACACCTACACCTTTGTGATCTATTCTGAGCCATGTCACCAAGAGTCTCCAACTATTGGTTATGATAGTCATGTGAACCCCAACCAAGTAGTCTGCATCTACCAACATGGCTCAGACTAGAAGTTAGTAACTTTAAGGACTGATGTCACGTTTTGGTTTGGCCACCCCTAACTTTCTCTCAACCATCTCCAACACTGGTTATCATTGCACGTCATGGTAATCGGTGTTCAGGCATACGTAACGCGTGGCCCAACCATCTTAGTCGATGAAGATTCACAACCTCACCAACTGATTTACCATCATTCCCTAATACCCTGTGTCTAACCTCACTATTACTTACCCGGTGATCCCAGCAGACGCCAGCAATATTTCTAAGGCATCTGTGCTCAAACACTAGTAGCTTACGAGTATCACCTACTCTTAATGGTCACGTTTCGCTGTCGTAAATTAAAACAGAACGGACTGCCGCGCAGTATACTCGTCCTTTTATTGATAGACGGATATCTCGTCTTCGCCATAGGTGACGTAAGGTGGCAAAAGCCAAACGAGCTTTTCGAATGCGTGATGAGATTTCGTAAGACACCAACACATTAGGGCTGATCAGACTTCCAAGATAAGTGAAGTTATTAACGCGTCCGACTAATTCACTCCATAGCCTTAGTTCAGGTGTTGACGCAGACCAGTCCTGAAGCAACAGTTTGCATTTAGAGGGAGAGAAGCGCATTCCAAACATTCTGGTATTGTTGCTCAGTGCTACCGGAAGACTGCATTTTATCAGCGTTTTCACCAAACAGGACTATGTCATCTGTGTATTCTAAGTCGATAAGTGGACCTCCTGGAAGGAGATCAATACCCGAGAATCCAGTCGACGAGAATGTTATTTTCAGCGGCAGCTCTATGATGAAGTTGAACAAAAATGGTGATAGTGGACAGCCTTGACGGAAACCACTCGAGGTTGCAAAAGCAGATGACAGTTCGTCATAAGCACTGACTCGACTGGTAGTGTTCGAGTAAAGAGCCTTCACAAGGTTTATGTACTTCTGAGGTACATCTTTCAATGACAGACACTGACACAGAATCTCGCGGTCTACCGAGTCAAATGATGCTTCCAATTCAAAAAAACTAACATTGTCGGACGCTGATGAGCACGCCTGTGGTCTAAAACCTGATGAATGGTGAACATGTGATCAATACAGCCACGATCAGGTCTGAAGCCAGCCTGATTTTCCCGTGTCCGCAGTTCACGAGTCTTAGTTAGGCGTCCGATAATTATTGAGGCTAGTATTTTAGATGCTATATTAGTCAAACGAATCCCTCTATGGTTGTCACAGGATGATTTTGACCCCTTTTTAAATATTGGGATAATCAGTGGTTGCAACCAGTAAGATAGGATTATGTCAAACTCCCAAATTTTAGCTAAAATATTAGTCAACCTAATCGCTAAAATTAGATAGCCATCCTTAAAGACCTCTGGATCGAATACATCTGCCCTTCCTCGTTTCAGATTAACTATAGCATTTTGAACTTCAGCTAAAGTTGTGAGACCTACTTCAATGTTTCATTCACACTACCTGGGAATGGAGGGTAGTTGTAGAGTAGCTGAATGCCAGCTGAATTGTCTTCTAAAATGTTCCGCCCATCGTTTTACACGTCTGGACTGGGAGCAGATGAGAGTGTCGTCTTTGTCCGAAATAGTCTGACTTACACCTGACTTATTAATTCCAGTTTATTTTATTAGTCTGTAGAGCTGTCTTGTGTTCCCTATAGCCGCCGCCTTTTTCATCTCTTGCTTTTGTTGCCGACCACTGCTCACGGTCGTTCCTTAGACTTTTGATTATCCTAGATCTGATTTTTTTTCGTTCTTCATCGTGTTCAGAGCCTGACGGGATGAGTTTACGAGAATCTATCAGTGCAGTAGACTTAGTAGAAATCCACTGGTTTTCGTGACCCTTTAAATCAATAATAATAATAATTTTCATAACTGTTCGTATATCTTTCCAAGTAACATCTGGGTCAGCTTCGTTTTCAGAAATATCTAAGTATGACCTCGATTGTTCCTGGAATCTACTTTTGGCTTTGTCGTCAATGAGTTCAATTTTAATGGGTCTCTGCATTCAGTGAGGTGCAACCAAATGCGTGTTTATATTAGAGCATGGCTAGAGTCTAAACATATACTCCAGAGCGAGCGGCAGTCTTCTATCGAGCCGCTCCAACGATAACTGATGGCAATATGGTCTATTTGAGTCCATCGTTGGTTTGGTATAGGGGGTTGCCATGTTAGACGATGTCTCTCTTTACGCTTAAAATTAGTGCTCGGTAAGAATAAACGATTGTATGAGCACAATTGCAGCGGACGGTCACCATTATCTGTTCGCTGAGCCGGAATACCAAAATACCCACCTGTTTAGTTTAAGCTACCTACTTGTGCATTAAAGTCACCTGCCATAAGCTGTATATCTGAGTGTTTAGCTTTTTAAAGAAGCTCAGAAAGCTTTCTGTAAAATTCATCTCTCACTTCATCCGGGATGTGGTCAGTGGAAGCGTAGGTAGAAAGGACGAAAAGGCAACGATGTGTGTCCCCATCCTTTCGAGTTCTTACGAGGCCGTTTAGCCGAACAGCACATAGACGACTGTTAACGGGGATCCACTCTAATAGTGCTTGTTCTGTCCCTGTACTTAGTGCTATGAGTACACCTGCCAGTCCACGAGAACTAGTCGTCGGGTCGCCAGATACACAGAGGGTGTATCTCGTCGGCTCTCCGTTTTGCTGAGGTGATTTCAAGTGAATGACCACACTAGGATCCTGTATGCGTGTTTCAGAGACACAGCAGACATCAATGGTACGAGATTCTAGGGTTTTCGCCAAAGATTTGCCATAGGGTGCGTACCTTGAAGGCTCTAATGTACAGTTTGGAGCGAGGGTTTAGTAGACCTGGGACAGTATTTCGTGCACTAGAATCGTTGGCCATGGTGACACTTGAGGAGGAAGTCAACAGAGGAAGTTTGAAGTTGATAGTCGAGTTAGGAGGAATAATATGAATTGAAGATTGATTATGAATACAGTAATCTTAAGTTCTTTTAGAGGTACAAGGGTGGTTACCACTTCTCGGCTGCCCATACCATGGAAGGGTTCTACCACAGGTACCTCGCCCTCGGACCTTGGGTTTGCTGCTTTTAGTCTTACCGCTTTCCGACCGACCGGTCTGGCATGATAGGACCTTGATGAACGATTGTTCTAGCCAGTATAACTCGATTGGTTCATCATGATAGACAAGCCCGACCACCACGTCAAGGCGGCAGCAACGTTTAGGAAGTGATATATTGAAGTAGGAATAGTGTCAGTAATAATAGATCAAACAGCTGGCCAGTACATCCTAATTTTCAATATTTCTCCGGTTAAAGTAAGTTTACCTTGAACAATATTATCAAATTGAATTAACTTTTACAGTTTTCCATACCTTTAAAATAATCATGTGCTCATAAGTGACTAAGTACAAGATAGATTCGGCAAGTCTAAGCGGAAAGTACTGTCCAATACAGTTCGACTATGTCCAGTATCAGGACTCGGAAGTAAAGCATAACACGTGGTACAATTTGAATGTGTTATGAACGTACGAAGCCGATCTCTACCAGAACTGACCAATAAAGAGCTGGACGCAACTATGGCCAATTTTGGACCACGTCACCTAACATCATAAACCGTGGGCTAGTTATTGAGTGGATCTTTGTCACTAAGTCTCTTCCCATAGACACGAATGAGGCCGATGGTTTTGAAATACCCACCAATCCTACGTAAACCAACAATGAATGTCGGGGTTATAGATGACTGGGTGTACATAATAACTGTCCCAATTATTTCAGTCGAAGAAGGTATGTACACTAACCAGTCGACTTCCCATTCTGATATTTTACTCTGCGCCAGAAAATACCATTACTCCCTCGATGGTTGCATCAAGCACCAGGAAATCTTTGAGGACGCCCGTAGTTAAATGCTTTCATCCTACGCAAGTCATTACTTAAGTAGAACATATATCGTAGTGACAGAGTCTACAACAGCATATTAACCTCACTCGCTTCACAAGTGAAACAAGCTTGCAAGAGCCAAGCACGTTTTTTGTACAGGTTTTAGGATTTTGTCACTCCACAACCACCGATGCTAGAACTTCCATGATGGATTAAGTAGTTAACGCGATCAATTAACTTTTTGTTTTAAAGTGGGTTATGACTTAGACCGGTGCTGAAGCAAAATTTTGCATTCGTGAGGGGTACACGTCCCAAACGTGCATGGAATTTTACTTCGAGCATTTCAATCCATGTGATTATTAGTGAACAGTTTAAACACAGTCAGACTGACTCCTATGTAATTATCACAAGTATCCCTAGCCTTCTGTAGTAATTGATAAGCAACCGAAACCAGTGGAACGCAATTACATTCAAGGCTCAAACCCCAACTAATAACTAAGTCAATCTGTTAAACCCGAAAATCCACTCGAAAAACTAAGGAGTGAGCCTCGATCCAAATTATAGCCGTTTCAATCTTACTGAGTCGGAGACCTGATGTCTATCTCCGATTCAGGGCATCGGTAAGAAGTTGCCGACCGTAGGGTAGCAGTAGGGTTTTGAATTTCCCTTTAGTATTCCGCTGTTTCGGTCACCAGTTTTAAGACTAGATCAAGACTTCATCTTTCTCAGAGATATCTTCGTTACCAGAAGAATTATTAGTCTCAAATCGCTTTATTAAGTCCATCGTTACCTATAATTGCTGCCCTGTGTATTTAATGTCATTACCGAGTAACCACTTTGATAGCCAACATTCAAGTTTCTCTTAATTCTTATTGCGTTCGTAACATACTAGGATGTACCTCCAAACCCACTAATCTAGCAGGAGCTTTCAGAATCGTGTTCTTTTTCAGCCTATGGATTTAGGTTGCCAACGACTATCACTGCCTTTATTATGCATTGAAGATAATATCAGAATGCTTTACGACGAACAATCCATTGGTGGTTGACGAAGCGCTTAGTTAGTTCTACCTTGGGGACACTTGAGATTTTATTTAAGATCAGTTTGTTTCTCCTGGATCCAATATGGAGCAAAAAAACTCATTGTCGGAGTGTGATAGTTATGCTATTGAACGGTGAAAAATATCAATATGGTCTATCTGTCCATTGTTGTAGTCTCAAAAGTAGACAGTTTTACAATATTTCTTTTAGTGCCTAAACTTAGTAAGAATAAACAGCCGTCTGAAAATAGTTTTAACATCCGGAGCTGTAGCATAGTGGGACTGTAACCGTGTTTTGATGAGACCAATGTATATATGGTAAAGACAAACTGAAAATACCGTTTTGATTAGGCTCAAAAATCAAAACATTGAGGGTACTTTCAATGAAGGGTTAACTACATGATTACTGGGGGATGGACTCTAATCTTTCATACAAATAGCCGTAACGACTGTTAGTAATCTTTATCAGAAAGTTAAGTAAGGTCAGTGAACTAACAAAGTTTCTTTAGAACAAATGGGTGACTGAAAACATCCACCGGTAAGCTACAAGAACGACGACGAGAAGGTAACCTTAATATGCGCTAACAGAGGTTTACATAATGACTATGAGGAGTGCTGAACAGTTTATTAACACAGGAAACAGAAAGAGGAATTGTCAATTATACTAGGTAACAAATGAAAAGACAATTGTCTAAATGTAGAATGAATAGTCTTGAAAAGCTGTTAGTGCAAAAAGTGGAAAAAAGGCGAGCCATAATGATACACTTCCAGCATGCATCTGTGAACTTAACAGTGAAATTCCCACCCATGTTGTTAATAGTCAACCATCGTGCAGTTTAATGATTAATTCTTCCAATACAGTTTGATAAAAACTTGGATAACTGTGGTTTGATAAGACGAAAGATTATTAAATATCGAGGTCAAATCTTGAAATAGATTTCCAAATCAGTCTAATGAAACATTTCCGAGAAAACAATAAGAAACCGTCTTAAGAATTTTATTTATATCAAAATATTAGTCAAAACCAGTAACCTACGAGTGCAGCAGGCCAATGAGGATGATAACCAATACTTAGCGATTTGCAGTTAATGGAACTGGAACCTGGAGTGGTTATTGTCAAATCACCCAATGAAGTTGTGGAACCGCCAACTGAAAATCCCGGGGGTGGTATTGAAGTAGATAACAAGCCTGTCAGGTCTGGAGTAACACGAGCCACCTCTTCAGCTGACATGTGTTAACTTGATACCCTCACCAATCCCAAGTATGTACACAGGTTGTAGAGCCAAAGCTCAAATGGGGCTAGAAAAATAAGAAGACCTATTGAAGTTAAAAATGAATAAATGACAAAACTAGTGAGAGGAAATTGATTCGAACCAAAAAAGGAAATAACTGAGGAATCAAGATCTAGATGCATTTCGGCTACATAGTAAACATTATTGAACTACTGTCATCGGAAAGAGTTCGATAAATACACACAATAGTCCCAAGAAATAAGTCATAAGACCATAACACAGAGTAGTAAGTTCTACGAGATTTGTGGCTGGATGGTATTCGTTTATTCCTATTTGAAACTTAATGAGTAAAACATTACGAAATACAGGTTCATGAACAACAATTGAACCGAAATTTCCCTGCGTGAGATCTAGGCATACTGTCAGGCTGCCCAAATCTAAACAGGCACGCTAGATTCCGTGGCATAATGGTTAATAACGAAGCACTCTGGTCATTGGCTTAACGTTGACATTTATCACGTTTTGTAAGGAGCTTTAAAAGATGAAGATCGAAGAGTCTAAACATTGTCTTGAGACAGTACCAGTTTTCTAAGTGTATGATAAATAGCTCATTAATATCAATTAATAAAATAAACGAACAGAAAGTACAGGGAGTGTGAGAAAGTGTGGTCATGAATATCACACAACAATGATTGCGACATACGGCACATTCCTGCTTACACGTCCAAAGCTAATCGGAATACCATCAGATTGGAACAAAGGCGTAGACTACTCGATCAAAACATGGTGCCAGTATCAAATGGAGTGTAAATTACCACATTTTTTCGCAAATGCTAATTTGACTAGTCCTGGAGAGAACATATCACGGATATACTTCGAGAACATCTTTTTTCATGAGGACACAATTTCTGCATCAGTATTTTAATTTCCTCAGCTTTTCTCGTTGGTTTTCTTTGGTGTAATGTGACGACTAGGACTAATACGTAATCATAAAGTTTTACGTTCATTCTATACTCAGAATATTTAAGGTTAACTTATAAGCGTAACTTGAAGAGGTGTGAAGGGTAAGATAGCTTAAGATACCTAGTCCCCTTCAACTTTGATTTGTAAACAATGACCAAATATTTGTAACTCTGTGTGCGTAAACATAAACAAACTCGTATAGATATGCCAGGAAAGTCAGTAGATGACGCATTAGATGATACAAACTTAAGACCTGATTGGGAAATGGATTGTAAATCATAAAAATCTGATCATTTCAGTGCATGAGCTACAAGGCGACCTTAGTATTTGATTTTTAGAATCCCATAATTAGAATTGAGATTGTATTAGACAGTAAATGTCTGTGTACTATCCATGTACTACAGATACCGTGAAAAATTATATGAAACTTTTCGAACCAGGGATGGCCAAATGTACGCTTCAGGAAAACGATTTACAAGTGGAAAACATTTGGTCCCCAAGAATTAAAGCCAAAAGGGTAACGTTAAGTAGTTCAACATACACCTAGTTAGCATGCTGATGTCATATCAGTGCTATCTAGGCACAGTAACAGAAAAAAAAATGGGACAAAGGTGTATTGAAAAAAGGTGGCGATGTCACGTCAGTACAGCGATGGAACTGACAACAAGAGAGATAAATGATTTCAAACACTATCAACGGTAGTGTGAAACGGATGCAGTCGGCAAGTGGTGTTGAATAGTAGAAATACACAAAGCCTAAAGAAGGGTAAACGTAACTGAAGCAACTAATTTTGAATCCTATCACTTAGTGTCGGACCTAAGATTTTGATTACGAAATTCTACACGGCTTAGTCCAGCCATCAGTGTCTCTGAGGTTTGATAATGTAACTTTTTGGGCAATCCATGGGGCTTTGTTCAGCTAGTATGTTCATGCTTTTCTTCTGCCAAGTCTAAACATTGGTCTATGAACCTCAGCATTGTTGATATCGTGTTGCCACAGAAGGCAAGCAACAGTTCAAGGATAAAAATAATTGAATAGTTTGAAGGCTAGTTCTATTTCAACCATAAGAGCACAATTGAACTAGATGTCAAATAAGCCTGAAGCTATAGTTTAGTGATCTTTATGACAGTAACGTTTCACAAAAAAACGAAAGCATGAAATGACACGTAACAGAACCCCTAAAAGGACGTTTTCACTCTTGTTCATTAACCTGTTAGACAATATGTGCTTTGGTTACCAGTTGGATCGATTTTCTTATATTAAGAAGTTGGACTAGAAGCATCTTCAAAGCTGACCTACACTGGTCTACGTACCTTAAAGGCTACACTAGACTTACTTATGTTGATCTGATCTGAAGTCCAACCACTTATCAATTTATAACTACCACCTACGAAATCTGAACAAAGACTAGTCAGAAGCTTTTGTGACATAAATTGGTTTAAATAAGTACTTAACAGTCTTCGTCGAAAAAAGGAAGACAATGAGGAAACTCTGAACATGTAGCTTAGACGACATTCACAACTCATTGGATAGTGCTTCAAATATCTTCTGATTATCTGACCACTATACTATCGTGGTCTGGACAAAATAGTAGTGATTTTACAGTCCCTTATCCAGGATGACAAGTTTACGAGAAACCCAGAAACAAAATGAAAGATGTGAGGCGTTGTCCTCAAGAAAATTCGGCAAATCTATCGGTTGCTAAATTGGAAAGAATAGATCTACCAAGGAAGTATCGATCACCAACCCTAAAAATGTTGGATATATTTCGTAGTCACAACTTAGACCGATAAAAATGTTGGATTCTACGTTGGGCATGAATAAGCTACATGATCAGGGCACGTTAAGGTTGGTTTACACTAGTAATATTCAAAATGGAGTTCTGAAGGTAGATAGCCCAAAAAACATAACTAGAAGTCGGATTTTATTGAAGGTGTGTAGAATGGGTTCTTAATCCTCATTTTGACAATACTTTGTGTTAAGGTCCTATGATAGTTTTTTTCCTTCCTGCTGCCACAGATTCGTTCCACTTGGAAAGATGTACAAGTACAGAGGTTACATGGCTTTACCTGCTGGGATAGTCTGGGTTTATGAAGGATTTGAGGTTAAACAATCATCATGCTCCAAAGTTTCTGCACTTAACTACTTCCAAGTTCATCTGAAAGGAACGTTTTTGTTTATTAGGTTTGATTATGTCCACAAGGATACTCAGAGCATAAATTAACATAGCCCTGGTAAGTGAGGATGTAAACAAGAAAGTTACCAGTACAGTGGAAGTTTTTCGACTATTTGATATTGTTGGCAGAATAAGTGATATATGACCAACAGAAAGCATTCTTTTACAGGTAAGCGCTATGCTTACAAAGAAACCGCTAATGGGCTTAACCAACTATACTGTATTACTTATCAATATAACGATGAGTATCCGACATGAAATTACAAAAACCTGACCAATAGTACAAAGTGATCGTCTTTCGGGATCATAACCTGGCAGATCTTCGTTCACGAATGTTACCAACAAAACGGGAATCATATAGTATTTGTACTATATATACCCACTGGCTTCATATAAAGAGCTGATGGTAATAAATAAAGAACTAATAGAACTCATTTTAGCCTGTACAACAGGACAGACTCGTTGATAGTGTCAAGAGTCTAATCAGGATCTCATATATTAGGATTTTAACAAGATTGCATATTAAGTACGATAAATATAAGCCTAGCATTAACCAGTATATGATTATCAACAAAACCAAACCTTCGAAACTTGCTAGCTGGAATTATATACGAAAGATTCCGCTACTGACTATAGAGATACAGTTAAGTCATTTTCATTTTTGATGATATTTTCAAATATAGATCCATCAACGATAATTCCATTGTAGCTCCAAACAAATTCGAGTAGGGTAGTCAATTCAGGCACTTATTAGATCAATTTTAAAAGCGCAAACTTGTCTCCCGTTTTATATGCATAGAATTATTGAAACTGCAGTTCATACAACTGACTGGCCTTCACAACTCACAAATATGTACAGTATATACAACCGACCCAACGCCCGTATATTCCGCAACTAGCCACAAAATGAGAGAACCTTGAAGCATTTAAACAAAAGATTGTATGTAGAAATATCACTTATTAAATTAATCACTGAACTTCTATATTTTTTCATTGTAAGAAAAGATTACCAGGGGCTGATAGTTACATGGTTAGTTCGTTACACATGACTGTTGGTAGACTTTGGTCATCCAATTAAAAGATTAGACATATCTTTAACTGTCCCACACTTTTTCTACTCTGGGTTTAAAATTTTAGGTAATGATTTTCACTATCTCAGATGTTTTTGTGAGAGATGTACTTCGAAATAACCACTCAAACTTTCTAAATATTATACAGATCTTTCCTAACATTTTTTGTCTTACGGTGTTTAAATGAACCAATGTCCCATTTAATGATATCTGTTTGGGAGATATGACAAGTTTAATTTCATGCAATCTGATTGGTCGACAGCGAGTTTTAATACCAATTTGAACTAAAAAGCAGCATACTTTTCCAGTGACTTAACTGCTGACAGTCTAAAGAGTGATAATTCAGTATTTTGTTTTTCATGCCGATGTGTCGGAAATTACTCCTAGTATTTAGACATGTCAATCAGCCAAGCTGACGCTGATGAAGAATGTCTAGTTTTTCCTGCAATAACTAAAAATTATTCAGAAGTAAAAAATACGGATGGATTATCAGTGGAATTAAACAATACACCACCCAACCCAAACTCTTTTTCTCGACCTCTACGTTCCACTTTAAAAACAAAATCGAAGTTCGAATCCGAAAAAATCAGACAAACTGGTTATAATAGCTCAGAACGAAATAATAAACTATACGCAGTAACTACTAGAGGACAAAAAAATCCTGACAGCTCAATCCATATGATTTATAAATTCGACTCTATGGAGAAAAACGGTGCTATGAAAAATCAATTGCCAACCCTTAAAAATGACATGGAAGTATGTGATTCGGATCAAACCACGCCATGTGGATCTAAAGAGCATTTAAAGAGGCCTTCTATACAACAGTTAAGAAAGTACTCGGTCGTGGATCCTAATACTCTTAAGTTTATAGAAGGTTAGGATTATTATTATTATTATTATTATTATTATTATTATTATTATTATTATTATTATTATTATTATTATTACTGTGTCATGATATTCGTACCCACTTTTTAGCTTAAATATTGGTTTATCACTTACATTATGAATTTCATACAACACACTGGTTCATTATTTTTGTTCACATTGGCATCAAAACATAATCGTGTAGCATAATTCTTATTGAGGACTTCTCGGAATTCCATATTATTCTAACAATGCACATTTAATTTCTTTATCAGGAGAGTATAAGTTATATAGACTTGTTCAACAAAATATTCATCTTTTCTTAAATCTGTTTCTGTTTACGAAAACATTTCAATTTCTACGTTAAAAATCACTAATTATCTTTTGATCATTTGGATATCAGTATGAAGGTTAGATTAATGTATATACATTAAGATTTCGCTTGATTTGACCATATACCATGATAACTGGTTTTTAAGCAAAATTAATTAACGTGTGAAAAATGAGATTGATATTATTTTCTCCCATCAATTTGATACATAAAATACTCATATTGCTAATATTATACTAGCTTCAACTAGAAACTATAAATTGTTAATACTAAAGAAACTGATGATTAACTGCTAAACTAACATATATACACACACACACACATTTTCATTATGGAACTATATTTGTTTGGTTAATCATTGGAAATTAATACATATGTTTCGTCTAGGTCTCAAACTCTTCAATAACGTATATTCACAACCCTCATGGTAAACATGATGCAATCAGAAAATTGACTCAAGTTAATTCTCTCTGATTGTAAATGATAAATCTCTTGATATTTGATAAAGTTAGAAAAATTAAATGTCAAACATGTTTTTAAAAAAAACTTTGACAAAAATCAGTTTGACATGGATATTATTTCCATCGGTTCACTAATTCATTTGAAATCCTACACAAAACTACAGGAATTCTTTCATTACAAAATATGTTTGTATATGGTATAGTCAAGTTAAACAATTACTAAATAATCTATTACTAAATAGATTAAAAGAGATTAAAATCGCTTCATATCATGCTTTCTATGAACTAATTCTTTCTTGTACTATATCCTTATTGCAACCTTTCTTTTATATATTACCACCTCTGAATTAACTACTTTTATGAATCCGGTGTTCATCTTGTTGTGTTAATGAGGTATGGCAACTTGTATCGATGCATATATGTGCGTGGTCCTACGTTGCAACTGACTGACTGACTGAATCTATTACTAAATTGGTTAAAATTTATTATTTGAAGGTAAAATGTAATTTATGTTAGACTACTATATAATTTCAGACTATCATTAATAAAATACGAAAATCAAATAGAATAGTACATTTTTGATTCATCAATAATTTAAACCAAATTCAGATTTTCCTCTATTCAATGACAAAATATAAAACAGATTATGTTAGTGCTTTTCTGAATCACTTCCATGGGTAATTGGAATGGCTTGTAATTTTTCATCTTTTTATTTATGACTACTATTGATTAGTTTTTATTAGTATAGTGTATATCCTGAGCAAATTATCTTGATTTAGGTCCTTTCCTAAGTTTTAATATATTCGAACTGCGACTAACACTGAAATGTAAGAAATACATTTCATCCTATCCAGTATTTTTCACTTTAAATGATAACTCATTATCCATTGTGTCATGGAATTCAAAATAGAAAGAAATACACTTTCTAGATTCCAGTCCCAGAAACTAATGAACTTTACTTAAACTTGTGACTAAATGACAATATCATGGCAATTTACTGAGTATTTACCTATCGATTGCAGTCCTAAATATAAATAATGGGAGAATATAAACACTTTAAAAAAACAACCTCGGACTCATTGAACACTTTTGTGACTTTCTAGATTCATTTTCTCGGTAGATAACACATAAACATATAAAGTGAAAGGTTCCGGGTTCAGATCTCAATGTAAATGCCAATACTGAACCACAGGTACGTCTAACTGATGAATGTCAAAAAGGAAATAATACACGTCCATAATTCCCCTGCTAGCCGCAATCCATCTCTAATAATAATATCATTCTTATTAGAATTTATTAACAATAATTATGGTAATTTTTATTTCTATTACATTAACGATAATAATAGGTTTACCCATTACTATATTTTAACATTTATCTCATTGATATCAGAAGGGGTTTTATGGAGATTGTAGTAATTTCAGTAGTTGGAATCATGAGTCAACCGTAAAAATCTTCAATCATGTCTAAACTGTATAATATACTTTATGAATAGTATCCCAGTGTATCCATCACTTTCTAATTTGTTCAGGAAAAAAAAGTAGAAAAATGTATATTAACGACTATAATTCTTTTTAGTTTTTCGTTTCTATCTCAATATTTCAATACCGTTATTTATTTCTTTAAACACATAGATATTAGTACAATTGGGCACCGAATACATATCAGCCACACAAATTTCATTTGACTTGTGTGAGAGCTGAAATACTGCTCGGGTGCCCGAACCGAAGCACGTGGTTTTCTTAGGAGGCCACACCCGTAGCCTTCGACCTGAAGGTCTGGTCCACAAGGCAGTGGGGCATCGTAAGGAGATACAGTCCCATGGTAGCCGGTGACCAACGATTGGTTCATACGCCATTTGTCTCCTCAGGATACTGGAGCCCATGTGCACCATTGGTTTGCAATCAGGGTTTTCCAAGCCCTCTAGGTGGGCTTTCTGTTTTCACCAACCCAGTTAAAGTGCCAGACATTCGCTTTTCGTCCTCTCAATTCCGTAAACAACACCCCCGCCACTAGGAGGCAGTGAGTAGGACTTCCCTGACAGAGGCTATATACGCGTGGCCATGTGAGAGCATTTGGAGAGGGAGAGCGGACTCTCCCCACTCTCGGCCGTACTAGGGCATTTGGGGGCTTTCAATAACGCATTAGATTGTGAGTAAATTTATAAAAGTCCATAAGTAAATTTTACCATTTACAAAGATCATTATTTCATTAAAACTAATTTCAAACGTGAAAATCTATTCAAATAGTTGTACAATTTAAAAGAAGAAAAAAAAATTGAGCTATAAATTTGGTTAGTCGAATTGTTCATTCAATCAAAGTATTAATTACATAATTCATATTAAGTAATGTATAAATAAATACATCATTGATGCGTAAATACATACACTTTAATACCATACTGTCTAATGTTAGTTATGGTTCAGTAAATTCTATCTATAAAATTTCTAAAAGAAAATAATACAATAATTGTGTTAAATTAAAAGTAATAAAGGTGAATTGAATTTTTTCATGGATAATTGATGTAGAGTAATTAAGTGAATAATTAAGTTTGTACACTTGGTATTGTTTACTTGAATCTTCTTATTGATGTTTAGGATTGCAATTAATCAGTTTCTTATTACCATATGTGCATCCTATGTGGATTACCTCGATATTGCCGAAAGTCACAAGCATTATAAGCAATGATGGATGATGGCAGTTCTTAATATCAATGGGAAGATTCAAGCAAACAATATCAAGTAAATTTAAACTTCACCCCATTACACATGCAGGTGACTATCATGACTCAGTAGCTATGTGGATAACGTGATGGTGTTTGAAGCGAACAGTGGTGGGTTCGAGTTCCGAAATCAACATCAACTGTGCGATGCAGTTACATCCATCTGGCGAGTCCCAAATAGAACAATTCCATTGCTAGCCACCATCCATCTTCACTTATAATTAATTTTGTTGTTTTCATATTACTTAATTTCATGTTAATTAGTTTACAATAAAGAATCATTTACATGAATAAATAGAAGTGCAACAAATTCATCATTTATGACCATTAATGTGGAATAATGGAAATAAACGGATAAGCAGTCCTTCAATATTAATTAACACCAATTTATTTTCAGCTGTAAAATTTCAGAACCAATTCACTTTTTATGATATTTTTTCTCATTAGATAAAATATATTTTATGCATGGGTTTCAATGTTATCGCCTCTTAAA